ACATATATACATATATATATATACACATATATACATATATATATATACACATATATACATATATATATATATACACATATATACATATATACATATACATATATATACATATATACATATACATATATATATATAATATAACATGCCCAAACACACACTGTGCCCTTGAACTGTCACAAACATATCTAGAAAGGGCAACGCATTAGTCAGCAATGCAAGCTTTCTTGTTGCTTTCTCTTTCTGCAAAAGCTTTTCCCAGAAGTCGTGATCTGTTGTACAGCCAGTGAACGCGTCATTTCATTCTCGACACAAACTTCATCTGCACACTCAGACTTCAGACGCACACTCTTTCTGCTGAGTGTGTGTTTACTGTGTTATTGTAGAGATAGTTTTAGATACAGTAGTTCCGTCTTGGAGCATTCACCACAGGACTGATGGTGATGATCAGCGAGTGTGTGTGTGTGTGTGTGAGAAAGAGAGAGTGTGTGCGTGCTTCTGCTCTTAAAACACACACGGCATGTTTTCATCTTACCCTGATTCTCCTCATGGCTGCCACGATCTCCATCCGACTGTTGGGCCTGGGCACGTCGAGACTCCCCACGTACTGAAGTAAACAATCACACACACACACACACACACACACACACACATTACAGCTGCACAATTAACTCCAACAGCTCCCGAAGTGGAGTTAAGGACAGAAAATTAGGGATCTTTTAGAAGATGTGATGTTTTTTGTTTTTTTTAATAAAGACTGCATACACCGTCTACAATATGCGGTAATGCTCACCCTATGAACTCTACAGACACAAAAACAAAACAGAAAGACAAACTGAACTACCTCAACTCTATTTTCCATTGGAGCTGATGTATCACAAGGTAAACACTGAAATTTAGCAACTAGTGCCTCTCTATGTATGAGTTTAATGTATTGTTAAAGACTAGCTCTGCCTTCTTATTAAGCTCTTTGTGGCTTGCATATATTCACAGTTTGGTAATTAAGTAGCTCTAAGGATCATGTTGTTACATCATGGTGTATTGATGATTGTAATAATTCATTGAGATATTGTTTTAAACAATATGTACATGCTGCTATATGAGGAAGGATGGATGCGTGTTCATGTGTTTGTTCTTGGTCCCACCTGCCATGAGATTCTTGCTTCATACTATTGTGTTTTTGTTACAGAATTTTGATTGTTTCTACTCCTGATGTATTGTGTTTCGCTATACTCAGCGGAATAAATGAATACGGAGAAAGAAAAGCAGACAAACAGATGAGAAAGCTGCTTGATAAGCAGTTCAAATAACACAATAGATACAAGCAGCCATGTGACTCAACTTTGGACCAGTAACACTTCAACATTTCTTCCACTGTGCTCTCTGTTTCCTGCCCTGCAAATCAACTCACACAGCCCAAGATAAAGTTACAGATTAGTGTGTGCGTGCGTGCGTGCGTGTGTGAGAATAGGGTCACTAAAATCTGAATTCTGCTGAGCTGCTTCCCTGAGAGGTTAATAATTCAATGACTTGGGGGGAAAAAAAACCTGAAAATACACTCAGTTCACTTTTGAGCTCTAAAAATAAGGACGTCTCCCTCGGTTTTTAAGGAACTACAATTCCCCAGTGGCCCTGCAGCACTAAACCACACGTGTAGCTGAGTACACACATGGCATGCGTTCAAACTTCATGGTGGATCCCGGAGCACCTGCCGCTCCGCTGCAGAACAATACAGCTGTGGACTGACTGACCAACATAAAAAGAGGGAGAGCTTTGTTTATTTCACCTTAGCTTGGAAAGAGATCCCATGGTGGTACGCCTCGTCATTGTGCAGCGGCAACCTCGAGTCCTTCACGTCGTCCACCAGGTTGTACCTGTTCCTCGCGGGCATCACGGTCTCCAACTGACGACCTCCCACCCCCTCCTCTCTCTCTCTCTCTCTCTCTCTCTCTCTCTCTCTCTCTCTCTCTTCCGACACAGTGTTTAACAAACAAACAGACACATGTCGCCTTGGTTTGAAATGCTACACTCCCGTGTGTGTGTACGGCACGGCTCCAACAGTGAGTTCCCGGTGGGAACGCAGTCCATTGTTGTTGCTTTGCGCTTCAAAGAAAAAAAAAATAGGTCCCGTCCTCAAGAGGGACAGATTTGGGCGCCCCCCTTTTTTTTTCCTGTGACAATACACCGAGACACTCTTAAGGATTTCCTTCTGGGAAATACAAATAAAAAAGCACAGCACCGTGGAGGGAAACGCGTGTGTTTTCCAAAAGCCACGGAGGGGAAATCCAGCGTAAGAAAGCGGTGTTTCTCTCTGCGCAGGTGATGTAGCTCCTCTGTGGGTGTATTTCTTTTTTTTGAATCACGTCCTGTTGTTGGCAAGCAGCGCTGCACCCGTAGTCTCCCTCTCTCCCTCCTTCAAAGCACAGAGCCAGCCCCTCATTGGAGCAAAGTTCCCAGACATGGTGCAACCTGGAGCTGGGGAGGAGAGCATGTCAGACAGCTCCGTTAGTCTGTAGTCCTCCCCTCAGGAGATGGAACCTGTGGAGGTTACAGCAAAATAATGAGTACATATCAACAGTATAATGACATGTGGTAAATATAACCAGTGGCTGAATGGCTGAATTGCCTACAGTAGTGAAAACTAGTAGGTTTTACTCCACTACAATAATTTCACAGTAAAAAGTATGACATACTTATATGATATGATGCAGTAGTGTACAAAGTATCTAAAACTGGCTTCACATTGAGAAACTATGTCATTAAATCCAGAACAGTATAATATTCCATAATAACATTACACTTTGAAATGAGCCATTCTGCATAATGAACACTTATTTTGGATACTTTAAGTACATTTTGTTGATAATACTTTTACTTCTCCTTGTAATGGAGTATTTTAGAGCATGGTCTTTCTTCTTTTACCTATAAGTAAAAGCTCAAGTACTTTACTGAAATGAGGTACTTCTACTTTACTTGTCCATTTCCACTTTCTGATACTTGACACTAGCATTGTACTAAATATTGTACTTTTTCCTCTACTACATTTATATTTTCAGATTAGGATTTTGGACGTATGATCATTCATAACATCTGATGCATTGTTATAGATTTAGCTCCACAAAAGCACACAAAGCAGCTCGTATGAACTCCACCGTGGCCAACCTCAACATCAAAGTAAGTATTTAATGCTAACGGGTCATTCTGCACTATGAGTATCTTTTCTTTTGATTTTGTTGTCAGTACATCTTGTTTTTTGTTTTGTTTTTACATTTACCATTAATGAGTATTTACACTAGTGGCATTACTACCTTTATTTAAGTAAATTATTGGAGTCATTTCCCCCCACCTTCTCCAAAAGAGATAGAATATTTGGTCATGTCATATAACATTCCCTGAATTAAACAGCGTATTTTTCCATCCCAGATCCAGGCTACATTTTTCTCATTGCATCATGCAGTAATTCTTCTGTAGGCCATGAGCCGTGGGCTATTTTTCTCAATATAAAAGACATCTTTCAAGTCATCCTTTGCTCCTGAAAACTGCAATACAGAGTCAGGATGACGATGATCAAATGGCACAAACCTCATTCGGTAATTTTCATCGTCCTTAAGATTCCCCCACGGGAGCCCAATAAATCTATTAATAGATAATAAGAGTTCAGGCACTATAGTTTTTATGACTGCAAAATTATGTCTCTGTTCAGACAATAATTTGCTCGTTGCTTTGCTCATGAAGTTAAAATAATGGGAGTACTGGTCCTCATGATGCTAAGCCTCTATCAAGCTTCCACCTCTCACCATGTTGTTGTCACATCACTGCTGCAGCTGCTGGTATTAACGTTAATCCTATGCATGTTCAGGCCAATAATAAGCCTGCAAGTGGAGCATCACTGCCGGTTCAATTCCATTAAAAAGAAGGGACCTTACTCTACTTGTAATAGTAAAATAGTACACAATGAATTAAATAATAGGATAAACACTTACAGTAATTAAACCTAAAACATGTTGTTATAATAAAGCAATGGCGCCCTCTGTTGATTGCTCGCTATGTTACTGCAGTTTTTTAACCAGGTTTCCAGATATGTTTTAAGATTAAAAGTAGGCATACATATAAAGATCTTTGTCTACAGTATAGTCGGTAGCGTTACAGTGCAGATTCAGCAGATGGACTTATATGGACTAATCCTTGCAAATCAAATGAATTAAGATCTGTTAATATGAGAAAGAGGCGACTAAATCCCTGCAATCTGCACTCGAATGGCAAGCTATGACAGTAAGATTGAAAGCTGATTAGCTTTATAGGTGAGAGAAGATGCCTCACAAGGGAGGGATGATGCTGACATAATGCGGTATTAACTAAATGCAGAGAGGTGGTGATCATTAACTTGAATAATTAATCATACAGGCACCTCCACAGCAAAATCAATCAAACCTAAATTAAAACCTTTAAAAGAACCCTTAACTTGTTATCCACATGTAAGGTCATGTAACCAGTTCCATAACAATACAACAACAAAACAATCCTGAAAGTGAGAGGAGCTAAGGCCTTCTTGATTTCTATTTTGGGCCTTTTAAGCCTGAGAGGGTTCAATGAGGAACTGGACTTGAAGCTGGTTTTGTAGTCCAGTCGACTGAATTACATTTATTCTCAAAGGGATCAATAGGACAAATATCAAGAAATAGCTTGACATTTGGGCAATTATGCTTTGCTTTGCATATAAATTAAATGGATTTGTGTGATGAGATTAACATTTTAAAAACTCTTCAGCACTCTGAACCTGAAATCCTCTTTCAGATGTTGTTCTTTGATCACTAATAAAAGAAGAAAAAACTGAAAGGAAATTCTTCACACAGAAGATTGTGAAGATACACAAGACTTTTAAAAAGTTACACTTACCCTTAAGAATTTCTGTAAGCTTGGTGGTATATTCCAAATATATGCTTTTATCTCTTCCAGAAGTGATCCTCTGTAAATAAATGCGTGGAAAAAAGTGTGTGGAATGTCAGGGAGGGCGGCCGCCCTGCAAATCAGAAGAAGCCTAGACCACGACAGTAGTAGCAAGTTTGTTTAATTCACTAATTGATATCAGGATCAGGATTCACATCACAACACGCATTACACACATATCTCTTACAGCAAAATATGCACTCAACACTTTAAGATGTAAAATTAATTAAATCAAATCACAGGAGTGTTGGATGCATGTCACCGCAATAAAGTACACCTGGATGGATGGTTGTGGATGAGGAACGCTGTTTATTGTATTGAACATTGAACTAAAACGGTAGTGTAAGTGTGTGTAGTGTCAGACTGTAGCATACTGCTGGTGTGTGTGTGAAAGCTGGTTGTGCATGATTTAAATGCTACACACATGCTTTTCCATCAGCTCACATGATAGTATTTCATAGTCATGCTTATGCTAGTTAGCATACATCTTTGATCTATGCATAAACTACTCCGTATCTGTACGTTGTGCATTGTTAAGTATGACACCTGAGAGCTGGTGGTGATGTGTGAATGATCCACTCAGTCACTGACCAGCCAGTAATAGACTTAGGATAGAAACGGCTGTAAGAGCTACGTGTAAACACTTATTCCCAAAGCATCCTTATTAACGATGACACCACAGAGGAAAGGCAACAAAAACAACACAAACACAAATTGTACATTGCTGACCGCTGCATACCTCATTCGAGTGACAAAGGCAAACCATGGCTTTGGTGAATGTGTGGAATACAGACCAATTAGTACCTGAATCAAGACACTTCCTCTCATTGATTTTCTTAATGTGTTTTGGTAGAGTGTACCAATTAAGACTCATAATAAACGCAGCAGATGTTCAGTAACAGATTATAACCCCCCCCAAAGAACAAACATATTTTAAAAAGGATAACAAATAAGCGCACATTCCAGTTGTTCCATTAGACAATGTTCCACATAAGTTGCAGCCACGACTTGGCTGCCTGATCACGAGGAACGATACGCAAACAAGCTCACACATGCACTGACAGCTTTTAATGAATTTCCCTCTCTACCAGAGTCTATGCTACCAAAAGTTTAATTCCGGAATGCCTCAGCTGAGCTTAAAGCAGCTGGAAACTGTGTTTATCTTTGGGTATACCAGATACATTCCCAGTGTTTAACATATCCCTAATGCCAATGTATATTTAAAAATCATTCAGGCTGCAATTCAGAGTTTTGTCTGCACAGTGGGTTTAAAATCGCTCTTTTCTTTACTCAAAAGTCATCCAATGAAGGTACATTTTGGATTCAAATACAGGGAGACACTTAAGGAAACACTTGAGGCTATTTACAGATATGTGGTGACTTACCGCACACAGACAGCTCTGAATCACAGCCTCAAAGTCGTAGCAAATAACCTGAAGTCACATTTTTACAATCATATTAATATCTATTGGGATTTCCTGAAAGGCTCTTGGGCTAAAAAGACGTAGCTCACATTTTTTCCTGCAGAAATAGGGTTTACGACTGACAGCAGCAACAAAAGGAATCAAATAATAAATACAACCCATGAGAAGACCATAAACCATAAAGACAAAGCTTACAATTTAAGTTATTCATCATGAGAGATCCCATTTACACGCCAGGTACCAAATAATGGGCTAAATCCAATCTGCTTGGATGCTACCAGGTCAAGAGAACAAGAATGCAGCAGTTTAAGTAAATAAATAAAATCAGTATCATAATTATGTAGTGACAGAAATGGGAAAGAGGAAAGGAGAACAGAAGATGGATGAAGGGCTGTAAAAACTGAAGAAAAAGGAGAGTACGGGGAGGGGGGGAAGGGCAGATGCCTCACACCGGAGCCCCGTTTGCCATTTCCGTCATCCTCTCTTCATCCCCCTGTTTCTGATGCTGCAGTCTGGCATAAGTCACTGCGTCTCCCCTGAGAGAGAAAAGAGAAAAAGGACGACAGGATGCGAGAGAAGGGAGGGCAGCAAAAAGAGAGAGCAGGTACCACAGGAGAGGATGACGATGTTAATTGCGATTATTACAAGGCTCACCTTGTCCGAGGTTAATTTGCATCAATAAAGAGACTCATTAGGGTTGTTAGAAGCATTAAAACAAATCATATTAGCCGATTATAATGTGGAATACTGCATTTAATGAGAGCTTGTTTTAATGTAACCTTTTAGAGGGGTGTTATGATGAGTGACACATGGAGAGATATGATTAATTACAAAATGTCTACTGTACAGTTTACCTTAAAATAGATAGAAAAAAATGTGTGTTATATAGAATAGCTGTGATCTTTCCTTCTTCCTGCTACATAAGAGCTTATAATATATACAGTATATTACATTATTACATGTTATAAAATACAAACAGACATCTTACTTTTTGCCTAAAGACGCAAGGCCGTACAGAACTCCTGTAGCGAAGGCGATGGCGTTTCCAAACAAGGTCGTGAAGGAGAAACTCAAGACTACAGGAAATAGAGCCATCCTGACAAAGAGCATCAAGAGACAAAAAGTCAGTGAATCATGTTAAGTACATGCTGGAGATTCCAAAAAATAGATAATGCAATGTTATTAACACTCAGAAATTCATAGTCTGAAACGACATGAACTGTGGACGGTGCATAGCTGTCCTCACCCGCAGTAGAAGAAGGCTTTCTGCCACGGTTTGAATTTGTCTGCACGGGCTGCTATTGCATTAGCAAACTCTATGAACTGGCAACAGAATGGGACTTCACACAGGAACAGCACGAAGGCGTTCAGCCTGGAGACAGGACAAGAGGACACAAACACAAGCAGTGAATTATCTTGTGCACTTCCATCTCAAATACTGCACAAGTCTGGAGGACTTTAAACACGGGAGCTGTGTAGAAAAGAACATTTACGCCGTCAGTGTGCCGGAGCACTACTGCTCAAATGTTTACTGTCATGGAGACAGCAGGAAAACGTCTACAGCGAGCTGGATAGTTGCAGATTAATAAACTACGTTTATTTATCAAACGGTCATTGTAGCACTAAAAGGTTCATTTGATTATGGCGTAAAGAATACAAATGAATGTCTACATTGTCTTTTTGATTCATCTTTGTTTCTAGCTAGCATTGTAGCTAAAGCTAATGCAAACGTGTTCTAGCCAGGGAGGAAAACAAACCACAGTCGGCTTTCCTGAGGCATGTGCACAATTCTTCAAGTTCTGAGCTGCGGTCTTTGGCACAACATGTTCAGGACAAGAATTTCTCCACACCTCCGTCATTTGAGCAGGAGGTGTGGCCACATGGCTACATGAGACTGCTGCTCACTATCCATGTAAGATGATACTGTACGTACAAATAAAGGAATGTAAATGAACAGGTGAGTGCACGACGCATGAGATATAAGATAAAGGTTAAATATGCAGTAAAGCTCTGATGGAGCATTGATATCTTAGGATAGTTTGAATGGGACTTTCAGTAGATGTTTAGTAAAACGTTAATAGAACCAGCTCACATCTGTGTCTAAATAAGTAGTTTTATAGTATGTTTGTTATTTTTTTCTCCTGTAATACCAACAGTATAAGAAATGTCTCGCCCTATGGACTGTGAATGAGCTATTCTGTGCATGCTACATTTAAATAAGCGTAGCGAGTGTCAGACTTACACCATCCACACTCCTGCAGCGATGTTTAAAGGGTTCACAGTGACACAGTTCCACACTCCTGCGATGGCACAGGCTGCAAGACAGCGAAGCAAAAAGGGTGATTATCAAGACACATGAGCCAGACAGAGTGAAAACACGACAGTATGTGGACGCAAACGCACAAAAGACAAACACACAGGCACGTCTTCTGCTGATATCTAAAGCAGTAAACAACTGAAACATTCTGAATAAAATCACCCAGCACTCAGATCTAGATGTGAAAGCTATCATGACACATGCTTGGGCTGAAAATTGATAAATTAACCCATATCAAATTTGAAACAATTATTACCACAGTGTGAAAATCAAAGCAGGCTACATTTTCCATGCACAAGATTCCTTTAATGATAATCTGAGCATTCTCAAAATAAGCCATTTCTATCTTTTCCCATGGCTATGATATGTGTCATCATCCCTTATTTATTTCACTGTTCCCAAAACACACACACACACACACACACACAGGTCCACTGTCTGACTATCCACTGTCAACGATAAGTTGTGGAAAATTCAAGTCAGCATGTTCTACATGTGAATATTTGGTAGTTCCTGAAATAATGTGTGATATGGATGATATCACACATTGTAGAAGTGTGTAATCAGTTGTATTCACACTAACATTAAGCAACTAAGCATACAACATGTGAGGTGTATCTGCTGTAGTACCTTTACGGCTTATTTGAAATATAGTAACACAAAGGAGGGCGTGTCAGCTTTTGGTGTGAACTGTCTTTGTCAATTCATCTGGCTATTATTTTCTCGATAAACTATTCAGTCAGTAAAACGTTAGAAAATGTCCACCACCACAGTTATCCAGAGCTCAACGTGACATGAAATGGTTTGTTTTCTTCAACAAAAAAGTCCAAAATTTGGATTCAGGATATCAGGTTTGCGAACAAAAACAAAAAGATTAGTTGCCAATTCATTTTCAAATGTGATAAAGAGCTATTAAAGGTAATCACACCTCCCCAATAAACACATTATCGTGTATTCCTTCCACTACAGAGTAGGAATAAGATGTAAAAAAAAAAATCACCATCGACATTTCCCTTTAATTTCACAATCAGTCACAAGCAGCAATGTTTATCCTGTCTCATTTATACTGATGTGGTATTCATAAAGGGCACACATTATTTGATATTAAGTGCCAAGTATGATCTTTAGTATTTGAGAGTGAGAAGAGAGAGGGTACATGTGTTGTGTTTCTATGTGAACTACACACTGCCACAAACAGTGGAACAGTGTCCCGCTCCTTTAGACCATCCAGCCTCCTCAATAATACAGAGCCCATTGAATATGCAGAGCCCGGGTGGTTCATGTGATACCGGCACTGAGACTCTGGTGTCACTGTGAAGGAGAGCTGCAATGCTGCTGGAAAACTGCAAAGCCAGCAGTAAAAAAAAAAAAACACACTTCTCACACTGAACTCCTTCCTGGGGGATGGAGTAATAGTACCTGCTGTGGACTATGTGCATGCATATCATATTGTTTTAATTTAGGAATAACAGGCTGTTATGAACTGAAGCCATGCAGACAGGCGGTGTCTGCTGCAGGGAGGGGACAATGGGCTGTAACAAAGCTTTTGTCTGGCGTGGAAGCGCAACTGAAGTGAGAATTGTAAACAATAATAGAAAATGAAATAGTAATCTGGTGCCCTTTCTGTCCCGTTTATACTCTAACCCGCATATTAATGCGGAAGAGTACACACAATCAGTATAAAATAATGCTGACATGACAATAAAATGTACCTGCTTGTCACATAAAGTAGCACAAACTTAATATAAACTGATTCACAACACACTCAATAGTTACATCTGCAGTGCATGCAGCCATGGCAGGGTTATCTCGGCGGCCCATGACTCATGTACTTATAACAAGCTATTGACAGCTTACTTACACATTCCTCCCAAAACTCCGGCTATTTTACAGAGCCATCGGTACCACCACGTCATGCCATCATCCTCCGGAGTGGTTTTAGCTGCGGTCTCTGCCTCGGTGCTCATTGTGTTCTTCTAGCGTTGTTAGCTGAAGCTAAAGCCAGTGTTCACAGATGTCAATCCTCAGACGACCTAACAACAGCTTCGTTAAGTATGTAACGTTACGCCAGTCTCAACAAACTAACTGCTAAACTTGATTATTACGACACAGCGGTCCCTACCGGTGATACAGATTTAACTTAAAGTTGTAAGTATTTTTTTTTAAATGATCTTTTCTTTCCTTTGTTTTGTTTGTGACCAGCTGCTTTAGTACCAGCTAACAGGCTAGCTAATGCTAAACAGCACCACCACCCAGCCGCCGCTAGGAGTGGATATCACCGCTGCATTAGTCCTGAACTCTCTAGCGGCCTTATTAAAAGAGCAGAAACTATCCTGAACTCTTTGTTTTTATTGTATTATAAACTGTACACTGCCCACGCTGTTTGTTTGGGAGGCTGCTCCGTTGTTCTCCTCTGGCTGCCCAGCGGTGCATTGTGGGATGCATCTGATGCGCGTCATGGTTTGTTTACATACAGGGAGGGCTCAGCTGTTTTTTGGCGTTGTAATAAATATGTTACTACATGTTTTTTGATTATATGTACAGAGGAAAAACCTGGAGTGACAGTTTTGGGTATTTGTTTGGTTTGTGCCTTTCCTGCGTACCATTACATTAGAGCAAAATATAATAAATAAATAACCAACAATCTTTGAAAAAGAAGGTTGTTGAAAGAATAGGTCACAATTATTTAAGTAACATATTATCAGGTGCACTTTGAAATGTACATATGATCCACTATTGTTTTAATACTTAAAACATTGTGAAGCTATTCACAGCAATCCTGATTTCACCAGCAGCCCTTCACATCAAGACAAGCGGAGAAACTTGCTATTAAATATCCGATTCATCTTTAATTACCCATTCACACTTTTATATACAACATATTCTTCCCAAATCACTCAATACCCATGTGAGTTCCTTGCAAGGAAATCAATACATATGTAAATGTCTCTCAGTAGCTTTCTGTTAATGTGCCTGCTGTAGAAACGTGGACTGTGACCTTCTTAATTAAAAATTGGACATGGATGAAAAAAGAAATGGACAAAAGTCCGGTCTGCAGAGGGATGATCGGGTCGGTTTAAGGAGAGGTAGGTGCAGTAACAAGGACAACGTCCACTCTAGCCAGTCAGAGTTGTTTGTCTTATTGCATTGAGCCTCAAACCAGAGCCTTTAGTGAAAGCAGGCTTTGGAGCAACACACGGCGTCTCTCACTCCGACAGCAGAGTGGACTGTAGTGACTTCAGAGTCCTTCGACTGGTCTTCCTCGCCTCCATCATCAGCGCTGGTTTCCTCTTCCCCGTGGGCGTGCGGCAGAGCATGCTATCGAGGGTCTGCTGGGTCACCTGATCGGCTCGCTGAAGATGAGTCACTATCTGCTCCACTGTCATCATGTGTGGGCCACCCTCACTCCTCAAGCGCAGCACATCCACCTGAAACAGGTCACAAGAGGTCACTGAGCAAACAGCAGTGTTTCACTGATTTAGATAAACATCTCCATAGCTTGTGTTCTTAGTGAGTATAAGTTGCGTAGACAACAGACTGACTCACCACCTCCTGAGAAAAGTCAAGCTTCTTCACAAAAGAAGGGCTTTTAGGCAACAGGGCTGCAGACAGGACGGAAACGGCATCCGTCACCGCTCCTGACATTGCTAGTACTATGACCTAAATCACCATAAAAAAATTATTAATAATTTAACAAAAAGGGTAATAAATAATGTAAACCGCAGTGACATGAGCACCCTTACCTTCAGATTTTGGCATAATCGGCCGTCGGTGGTCATTATTCGTGAATACAACGACTGTGCATTTTCTATGTCATTCTGGAACAAATACAAGACAGAAAAAACAAATTATTGATTATATATACATCACACGATATTCCCCACAACTTTTTGCATGAATGAAATGAACAGAAGAAGAAGATATAACTCACTTGTCTGAGTGCTAATGCTACAGCAAAGCAGTAAGCATGTCGGGGGACGGACTGCCCTTTGGTCTGCCCCTCCTCTATCAGAGAAGTGCAGATCGTGTAGGACTCCGCCGTGTTCTGAACCAACATAGCAGAGAACATTAGCTGACCTTAAGGAGTTTCTACATCTTAAAACAAATAGAACTTTAAGGACTGTAACGTTAAAAATGTATCGCTCAATTACCAGTTTAAAACAGGTGCCAGCTGCCAGTGTCAATGTGTCTTTGTTGAATGGTATACCTTGGGCCCTCATGGTTCTTAGTACCTCCAAGGCATCTGCAATAGCCAGATATAAACAGTATATATGTATATATAATATCATACACATGTGACGATGATTTCAGAAGAACAAAAAAAACACTGGGAGGTTAATCTGGCACTTACTTTCATAAGAGCCTTTAGTGAACAACATGTCAATGGTGATGTTAAAGGAGGTTGCGTCGTTGAAAAATCCCCTCATATTCTGTTCAGACAAGTGAGAGGAAATGTCACCAAGTGCAATTCAGCTGTTAGAAAAGTACAGATTCTGTCTAAGCGTTGCCCCTCATGGCACTTGGTCAGTAACCAGGGTTTTACCTTATCTGTAAGTGTAGCAGCAGCCAAGCTCTCCAGACCCAGCTCATAGCACAGCCTCACAAAGAGGGGACCAAACTTGAACTCTCCATACACCAAGTTCCTGTTCTCTGCGTGATACCTTGTGAGTGCAAATAAAAGAACCATCACACATGCATAATTCAGCTACTCGATACGAGATGATAGTCGAAGCCATTCAAGACATATTTGTTTTGCAGTGTGAAGTGGGCAGAATCTCATTTCCTTCTTTCTAATTGTTTGTCAAAGGCAATTCAGAGAAAGAGGATAAACATGGAACACGCTTTGGTACTGAAATGATCTACTTTGCAAGAAAGTGTGTTTATGCTTTACAAAATTGCAAATGAAGGATGTACCATACCTATAAATGGCATCTCTTGCTATCACCATGTCATCGGCAGACTGGCACAAGTGAAGGAGAAGCTTCAGCTCATCTTTCAGAATCAGCTCATTCCTTTGTAGCTTCTGGCTGAATAGCTCAATGTAATTTCCTGTAAAATGGGGGTGAGAGTGTGAGAATATGAACTGTGAAAACGTCATAACAGATGGCGTAAAACTGCAGCCGTAGAGCCGGTGAGGAGAACTACTTCACCTTTCGATCCAGTGACAAGATGAGCCACAGCCAGCTTCCTTTGCTGGAAGTCTTGTAGTTTGATAACATCTTCTGACAACAGATGCCTCTTAGCTGCAGAGAAAAGAGTTAACAAGAACTACTTATATAAAAGTAGCAATTATACGATAAATTATTAGTTAATTATAAGATTTCTATTTTGTGCAAACAGTCTTAACTTGCAAAGTAACTGAAGCAATTAAATAAATGGAGTGGAGTAGAAGTATAGTGTAGCATAAAATGGAAATACTTAAAGTTAAGTACGAGTACCTCAGACTTGGGTGTACATTTAGCCAAAAATGCAGTGGTGTTGTGTGGTGAAGATAAGGCTGGTAAAACCACCAAAATAAACTACATTTGAAGAAAGGTTGCTCGCTTGAGAAGCCATTCATAACTTGGCCTAGCGGGATAGTTTGTACTGACAATAGCATATGCCTTAAAATATCAAAGACAAAGGCCATGTTGCAACTGCTGCAAACCCTGCGAGTAAAACCCGAGATAACCCACGTGTTGGTGGATTGTTATGGTATGGAAAGCCACATGCAGTCAGTACAGTGCCTTTGTAAACATGTGGGTTATCCACCAGCTGCTAACGTAGCTTCTCTAAATAAACAGACCGCTTTAAGGGTCACAGACAAGGGAACATATCGACGGGTTTTATTAGTCTTACCTCCTATGCAACCTTCAATCCCACCTGGCTGTAAAACACCACAAAACGCTACTTTAGAGGGATCGCGTACTAACGACCGACAACATTTACCGACCCTGGCCAGCGCCATAGTGCCCACTGACTGTACCATGCAACGGAAAACCAAGGGGGTGTAATCGGAGAATTAATAGAGTTATAACATGCTGATTTATGCCCAAATAGTGAGACGTGTTTTATAATGCACTAGTACCTAATACGCATTTTAATTGGATTAAGACAGAGTGTGTAACTATTTGCTTTATTTAGTGATGCGCAAGTACGCAATTTGGTATCATCCAATATGGCAGCGCCCTGTGATCCGAAGCAGGAGTCGGCTACAAAACTTTCATCATTCACGTTATCCTCATTTATATCTGCTCTGTCTGAATTGAAGTTCTATTCTTTATTTTTGCTCCAGCTGTTGGCGTACTTGTTTGAGGTGGAAAAGCATTTTATTACCATAAAGTTTTGAATCCTTTGACCTACAGGTGGCGCTGTTGTATTACACGTTAAACATGTCTGACGAGTTTGCTGAGGTTTGCTGCTATCAGAAAGTTTAGGACACAATAATGAATAATAATATGTGTAGATAATGTGTCGTTCACATATTTGCACTTTTGGCCTGTCATTGCCGTTGGTTGTCATTGCGTTATATTTCAAAAAATATATATAGTTTAGTGATATACATTTTTCACACAGTTCATACTGTAGGTTGTCTATTTTAGCATATTCATATCTACCCCATACTGTTTGTAATATATATATATATATTCCTATTTAGATTTTCTGCATTTTCATTGGGTTATATTTCTGAAATTTTAGCTCCAATTAAAGATATACCCCCAGAATGTAACATTATTACGGTGAAGCAAATGAAGCAACACGAGGGAGACTTTGTACCGAGGCCATTGTTTATGCTAAATCAACTAATCTGACTTTTATTTTCAAATGGGAATACCTTTTCAGGCCTTGACAACCTTCACAATTAGAGTACTGAAGTATAGAGAGGACAATTCATGTGTATCTTTATACCTTTGTATAATATGTATACACAGTATGTAAAACACTTTCCTCTGTTCCAAACAACTATCACAACAGATTCTCTAGCTGCTTCAGAGTCCAGAGTCTCTACTGAATTTGCCAAAATTGCATTTTTGCACATCGCACCCTGGGCTTGAATAATTCACAAAACAAACTTCATATGAGACATTCAAGCGCCACAAGCACATGTTGTCAGACGAATGTTACTGTTTCAACTATAGTCACACTCTCTCCTTTATGCCGTTATGTAAATTGTTTGTGTGACTCCATCCATTTTGGACATCTATCTTGTAAAAGAGATCACATCTCAAGAGACTTCCTAATAAAGGTTAAATATATATATCTTTAAACGCTTACAGTTTGTTTTTTGAATCAATATGATTACGGTCACAAATACTACAGTTGTGGTTTGTCAAAAGGTTTTAAACCAAATTATCCTTTGAACTCATACAATTTTGTGTAAAAAAGCTATGATTTATGTTATGATAGTTCAGAATTGCTTGCACTGTAATCATTTTAGGCCCAACCTTGTGGTTATGTTGGAAAATGTAAATTAAGTAGGCCCTTTTATTTGATTTGAAGCAATTAACCTCCACTCTACTTTAATATGGGAGGCCTCGGTGAGCACCAAACCCTGCCACTCATTAGTGTACCCATTGACCCACACAGCATTACATAACCAAGGACTTATGTCCTTGTGAGGGAGTTCTGCTGCATTTTCTCTGTGAAATTTGAAATTCAACTCTTTATAAAGATAGTTTCTAGACTCATATGGCCTCTTGAATATTTTTAGTGTCAGAACTCTGACGTAAGTAAAGTCTTATTCAGTGCACACTATGCATGTGTACATTTCATTATAATCTAATGTTCTTTCTCTTGTTTCTTCATTCAGGTGAGGTGCTTCTTAAAGTGACTCCAAAGATAGACTCTCTCTCACAGAGAAAATAGGGCTGGTACAGGGAGTTCCCCACTGTTGCCCTGGCAACAAGATCTCAGCCCATCCAGCTGAGATTGCGTGCTCAGCCAATCAGACACGGGGCCTTGGATAATTCATGGTATCCTGCAAGGTGTGCCTGTGTCTCTGTGGGTTTCTCTCTCTGTGCATGAGTGTGCGTTTGAATGGATTTAAAAGCAGGTTTTCCCAACATATAGCTCACCTATACTGTACATTCTAGGGTTTAGTGTGGTGGCAGCTCATGTTGAGTTGCTCAATCAATGCAATAAATCAATAGGGAAAGATAGTACTGTTTGTAGCGGAGGTCTATGTAAGCACTCAGACTTTGATTTCCCAAACATTGAGGTTCTGCTGACAGATAGTACTTATTATTATAGTAGCTCTTACATCTTCTTTGATTTATTCCTGTGTGCACTTCCCTTTGGTTTTGGAAAGTGCCCGGGGTGCCCCATCATCATTAATAAATGTCCCCATTGAAACAGTTTCGGCACGGAAAACAGCTGGTACTAATCACTTTGTCAGACTGTGTGCAACTGTTCTAAAATGACTGTCCTTGAAAGATAATTACATAGGTTATCTTCCACCTATAGCAATACTTACGACATACATTTATATGCATGTATATTCACTCAGTGACTCATTTTGCACTAAATCATAAACACCTGCCTGTTGGGTTTGGATAAATAGTGGAGAGGCTCTCCTTTGCATAACTTCTGTATAATAATGTACTATATTGCAGGCTTTCCACTTACCGGTGTGCAGTACATGCTGAAACAGCTCTGAGAGACTGGCTCAGACATCAGACATGTGGACTTGTTGTCCTCCACTGTACAGCAAATAGATGTTGAGTTGTGGAGACATGTCCTCTTATCCTGCTCTGCTTTTTTCAGTTAGTGTCCCTGAGGCGTCTGAGGTCCTTCAGTTCACTACATACTGAGGAGCTAAATACGCTCTAAATTGACCTTATCTTCCCCACATCCTTCTGACATGTTTCATGTTCTAGATATTCTTCTTTGTTTTAGATCTTTTGATTTGTTATAAGTTACATTTATCTTATTAATTTGGTCTCTTTTTTTTCTTCATTTTCCTTTGCATTAAAAGCAGTAGTGGAGTCTCAGCACGGCTGCCCTGTAACATGGTCCTGGGTTCAATATAGCGCTGAGTGTTACATGTCCCTAGTGTAATGCCGCCAGCAGTGCTAAAATATTCAGACAGTTTCCAGACATGGATGACTAAGTGCATGGCACAAAATTTAACCGGCAGTGTCAGGCAAAAACCTTTACAGAACAGTGTCAAAACACTCACACACAGCTACTCTATCTTTGCTTTGCTACATCACTTACTGCACCAGCCTCAGCTAATGCGTTAAACTAATGGTAATGGTAAACTATGGTAAGCTCATGGTAAACTTTGGTCTGCTAAACATCAGAAAGTTAGCATTGGTATTGCGAGCATGTTAGCATGCTGGCATTAGCTATTCGCTCAAAGAACCGCTGTCCACTCAGACAGCCGACAGCGTGGCCGGCTCTTGGTCTTGTTCATATGAGTAGAATTGTAAAGGCGTAACTTCTTTGGGCATGTTAATAGCCAAATTATTTTTTATAAAGTCATTATTCACTTCTAAGCAAGATACTTCGATATGTGATATTTTCAAATGTGGTACTGTTTATGATGAGAAGAAGAAGAAGCTGTTTTTAAAAAGCAATGGAGCAATTTTCATTTCAACATCACAGTCTGATTATAACATTATAAGAAATAACACTGCCTTTGTAATACACGATAACATAACTGGACTCTATAAAGAGGTTGGAAAAAAACAAAAACACAAATTCTTTTTTTTCACACCAGATTTTATTGGGGTTGTTTTAAATGTTTGTTCTTTAGTAGTGGTTCCTCTTACATCAGTTTCGCCATATGGGGAGAGGAAATATTGCACACATACATCAGAAAGCACTAAGGAATACTTTCACTTGAAACTAATTGCTATACGTTACATATGAGTTGGGGTAAGGGGCAGAGAAGATGCAAGATCACAAGACAAGTATACCACACAGCTGCAGACAAACATTATTAAAGTTCTCCCGAGAGAAAGATAAGGAGAAAAAGGCATAGATAAATAGAGAGAAAGAGAAAGAGAGGAAGTATGGAGAAAGAAGAAATGCCAGTTCAAGAGAATTGTCAGTTCAGAGATTGTGTGTTGTTGGTTTGAGTTCCCCTGCAGGACATCTGATTATAAGTATCATGAACACCGGACATCATTTCAGAAATATCTGGTGAGCTTGATGAGTTGATAGAATAGCCCAAAGTACCAAAGTCTGTCATCATCGAATTGTGATTTGTTAATGTTTCTCCAGAAGGTGGCCTGTCAAAGTTGATCTGTGGCATCTGTGCTGTTTGTTGGGTTTGTGTTGTGTATGTGTTTAAAGTGTTTTTGTTTTACATACTTTCATCAAAAACACACAAGTCACTCACTCTCACCTCCGTGTGCTGCCTCTCTCAAGACTGCGCCTCTACCGGAAGCTTTTACCTTTTCATCCCGACTAAAGAGGAGAAACTCTTCTGTCACAAGAAACTTTCAGCCTTCAACCTTCTGTACCGCACCCAAAGTCAAGTGTTATATTGATACAGTGCACGTTTGTAAGCCATTTGAGTTACTGTAGTGTACAATGTCATGACACAACTTGCAAAAATCCTAAAATGCTCCTTACATTAATGTATTTAGCCTAGCCCTGTTGTTCTTAATGCAAGTCTGAGCAAAATCCCCATAAAAAAAGAGAAAAAAAACATTAACACATCATGCATGTCTTCCAACCACTCCATCGGCCACAAAGCTATTTATAATTATAGTACAATGCTTTAGAAAAACAAGACATTTTAAGGTTTATGAAAATATCCTGCCTCACCAGCTCTACAATGGGAAAGGCTAGCACTCTCATAGCTCAATGATTACATTAAAAACAGGTATAAGAAATAAGATCTGATCTTCTCTCTTTTAAATAACCATAACTGAATAACTGAAATAAAACAGACATTTTGAAATAAAAGGCGATCCTCTAAAAAGCATTGTGACAAAAGGCAAGGGAGCGCATTCTGAAGCAACTTCCTGTTGCGCAGTGCAAAAGGCTATCTGGACAATCAAGCACAATAAATTAACATTTAACATAATAAATTAGTATTCATACATAAGCAGCAACATAAACATCCATTTTAAATCAAATGAAACCCAGCCGACTTAAAAGCATAATGTTTCACAACAGGGGCACTTTGTCTCGCCCGTGATGAATATGAAGTCAGACATCATATTAATGCTAATCAGTGTTGAGTGTCCTTTCAAGTTATTTCATATCCACCATCATTCAACTATGTAACCATATAACAGTCCTTTTTGGGATTGACCACTAGTGTGTAGAGTTACCTGCCCACTCTTCTGCTAGTTGCACCAGTTCTTATACATTCACTTTGACCCTCTCCCTAAGGCAATAACAGAAAACGTGTTTTATACTTTGGTGTGGATAACAGCCGTTATTCAAGAATATATCATATGCGGGGGTGTTTTGTTCACTGACAGCAGTTAAATTGATTAAACCCTCTCATGTATTCAGATCTGGGGAATCAGACGAAACTCAATACTTCATCAACATCGTCATTATTTGAACTGTAAGAGTTAGCTTAATTGACAATCATGACTTGGCCGTGCTTCTTTTGGATTCTAATTTCCACCCAGCATGATACATTTAAACCTAAAACTTTACAGTGCGGAGGAAACATTGTCCTTTAGATGGAGCCCCTCAAAGCTAATTTGTATTCGTCTTAGTCCTCATTGGAGATATTATCTTTTTCATGGTTTGGTACACAAGAAAGAGCATTTTAGAATATAAGTGTTAAGTTATTGTGTTGTTTAAGTGTCTGCTTATGCTTTATGCTACATGGATTTGTTTTCTTCCTTAAATAATCATTATCAGTCACTAGGCCCGCTGTTTTCTTGCTGAACAGGCCTACATCTCTATCTTACAAGCGGGGAAAGACTCATCCTGCATGACAACAGTGCTGCTGCTGGCCAGGACCATGATGTTGAGCTCCTGCTGCTTGTCGTGGGTCTCCTGGTACCACTCCCTCATCACATCAGTGTCATGGGTTGGAATCAGAGTGACCTGACACAGAGAGGAGGGAGGTTTCTAAGCTCAAGCAGTCAGAGAATTCAATAATCATCCTTTACTGTACAACCAAAAGTTTTCTTTGTCTTTCTGTCTCCCCCACCCATTTGACATTTACCCCTGCTTATATACAACATTCTAATCCAAATGCAAATGTGATAAACAGAGGACCAAAGAGAAAGTCATATATCAATAATAAATCATTTAAAAATGTGTTTATAACTAACAAATCTATTATATTTTGTATTTATACCTTCAAACCCTTCTGGCACAGTTAAATTGGGGCGAGGGCATTAACAAATAGGAATTAAAAAATCTCAAATTGAGGCTCAAAATTTGAATGTCAAATAAAGCAAAAATAAACAGCATTCCAGTTAGTTTTACAGTATCATATCAATCATATAAATACTCACCTGCATATTGTTTCCCCACTGGGCCTTTCCTTCAAGTAAAGCATCAAGGACAGCCCTACTGGGCTCCTGAGCTGTTGGATCATTGCCACTGACCACATAGTAAGAAGAGCGCACCCGCTTAAAGAACTCGGCATCCGCATTCTTGGCATTGCAGTGATTAGGGATGTAAACCAAATCCATGTACATAGGAGGACAGTTGGGCAGAGATACCCCACCTGGTACCTTTCCACTGCCAGTACCTGAAAGGGCAAAAAATAAAGTACTCTCTTTGGTAAGATCATTAATAAATATGAGCAAATTATGTGAAGTAGTAAAGTGATTTAAATGATGACAATAAGTAGGTAATATTCACCTGATGAAGCACTTTTTACACCTCTGGATGCAGAGGTATTGGTTGCATTCTTTGCATCTTTCCCTTCTCCGACATTCTTCTTTGGAGACAAAGTCTTTGTGTCCTTTACCTTTGATAGAGCAGTCTTCCTAGCTGGCGAGGAAGACTTTTTCAAGAGCTTTTTCTTCTTGGGCTTTTCTCCTCCTTCGGTATTAGCATTGTGGAGGTTTTCTTCTGCATTAAGGGCCTCTGGGTCCACCATGCAGACATCATGGTGGCCTGAAGATGGAGCGGAGTCCCTGAGTGTCACAGGAGGAGGATCGGCATGCCTGTAGGTCAGTGTTCTGTCAGTAGGCAGAGTCTCAGAGTCGTCTTCAGAGTCGATGTTGGCATCTGCTGTAATGGAGGGGCACTCCTCTGTCCCTGGTGGGACGTCTGAATCCGTCTGGGAGGGGGCAGATTCACTGATGGATGTGGGCGGGGTCTCCTCACACTGCTTGGTGGAAAGCTTACCACCTGGAGGTGGGGGCCCTCCTCCTGACTTGACCAGAGGCTTCTCCTCATCCGTGGCATTCTCTTCATTGATGAAGTATTCTAGAGGGTTAGGGTTGATGAAAGACGGGGACAGTTCTGTCTTGGGGTGGAGATACTCACATGAAGTGACTAGACAGAGGTCGACGTCTGTCTTAGATGGAGCAGAGGGAGTCTTCTTAGTGGAAAAGTCTGGGTCCCTGGAGCCACAGGCAGAATTGTAATGACAAGGATCAGAGGAGAGAGGTAGATAAGATGGAAAGGGAACTTTGGGGCTCACAGGGGATTTTGCCTCAAGTGTAGAATCCTCACATTTAAAGGGATTAGTCTCCTTTGCCGGGGAAAAGGTCTCTTCTTTTGTAAAGGTAAAAGACGATGAAGGAGAAGCAGCTTTGGGAGGTGAGGGTGACTTGTCGTATTTCTGTTGCATGTCAGATTTATTAGTAATGCTCTCCACAGATGGTGAAATTGGGCTAGTTTTTTCTTTAGCCGGGGACCCTCCTAGCACTGGGGATGGCTCATTGGAGTAGGGAGAGTGGGTGAGAGAGGATGCCTTTGGGGTGACCGGAGACTTCTGGTCAGCCACGGCATGTAGCATCTCTGTCATCTGGCATGGGGTTGTAACAGAGGGAGTTGACTGAGATGCATCTGATGGAGTTGCAGAAGTGGCAAGCGCTGAATCGCTCTCATCAAAAAGAAAAGGCTTTTCCACTGTAGAACTATGGTCTCCAGATTGTTTTCCATTTGCTCCATCTGAGGGGCTATAGTCAACCTCAGTCGGGCCATTCTCTGTAGCATGTGAACTGCCTCCCACAGATAGATGCTCTGGAGATTGCTTACTAAAGTCCAGGGCGAAGGAGTGGTCAGGGGACTCTTGGCCAAACTCGATCGACATGGTGGAGTGCTCTGGGGATTTTGTGTCCTGTGTTTTGCTTTTCGTCTTTGGTGAGATGTCTGGGGAGATAGACATGGGCCTCGGGCTATCTTCCTTTGATGGCGATCCCTCAGCTTCCTGGAAGGTGGTTGGGGTCTGAACCACAGACACAGAAAAAGAGTCATCTACCTCTGTTGAGTGAGGAGAGCCTACCTCAGCATGAAGGGAGGGAGAGTCAGTGGTGGGTTCTAGCAAGGAGCAGGTGGCCAGAGAGGCGGTGGATGCTGAAGCTAAATGAGAAAATGTATCTTCTGCTACCACCTCCTCCAGAGGGGTTCCTGACTTGTCTGATGTGGTACCCTCTGAAATGGACATTTTACTCTCTTCTTTGAATGCTGTAAAAACATTAGTGTCTGATTCCTGTTTGGTCATTGGTGCTGAGGACAAGACTGAATCTCCATTTTTCTTCTGATCTTCATTGAAGAGTGACTTTTCCATCTTCGTTGGGGAATCGGGTGCAGTTGAAGGTGAGCACTTTGGAGAGGACGCTATCCTCTCTACAGGGGATGAACTTTCTCGTTCTGGCTCATTAGGCTCTGGAGTATCTCTATTGGAGGACTCCTCTTTATCACTTGTTACCTCCACAATTGTTGGACCCTGTGCTTCGTCTTCTGACACAGGTGGTAGAGCTCCTGCTCTTTCATCTACTGGCGACTGATAGTAAGGTGTGTGACCAGAGGACTGAGGCGAGTTAGCTCCCTCCAATGTCTTGTCATCGGGGCTGATGGAGGGATTAGCTGTCTCTCTGGCGCACCCTGCAAGTGTGGTGGACAGTTCTATTGGAACAGCAAACAGTGATGGAGAATCAAACTTGTCCTTGCGGTCCACTGAAGGAGAACGCACAACAGGTGATGTTGTGGAAGTTGAACTGAGTCTAACAGTGTCTGTGCCTGTGTCATGATTCTCACATGACTCTTGAGCTGTGGCAAACCCTTCAGCTTTCCCTGCATAGGGAAACCCCTGACAGAATTTATCTTCTTCTAGTAATGAAGGAGGAGATATCGTGGAAGCAGAGTGGTTGTAGTCCTGGCCTTCTGTGGCATCACTCTGCGAGTGATCTGTCCCTTGCATATCCTGAAGTGGAGACAGCTTCTTCCTGTCAAACTCTCCAGATGCTGATGTCACAAACCTGCCCACGTCCTGTGAAGGAGACTCATCATTGGTGTTTTCGTCACTCATAATGTCCCTAGGAGTCAACATCTCATCCATGGGAGTAGGCACACTGGAGATCTCAAGGGTGGACTGAGTGTGGCCAGAGGTGACAGTGTAATCCTCAAGGGGTTCATCTCTGTTCTCATAATCCGAGGCTGTTGAGCTCTCAAAGCCAACAGGAATCATTTCGTCATGGATAGATGCAGCTGGAGAAACAGGTGAAGACACTATTGGTGAGGCTGATACAAACAGATTATGTTTGTCATTTTCTCCCACACTTACATTCTGACCTTCCATATCTTTATTAGTTACATCATCGTTGTCTTCAACACTAGCTCTTGGTTTGTCGTCCTGGTGTTCATCTTCACTAGGAATAAGCTTTTCTTTATCTGGTTCCACCCTCTGTGGTTCATAAACTTCTTCTATCTCTCCCTTATCTTCATAATCTCCTCCCTCAGATGTCTCCTCCATGACAGTACCTTCATCTTCAAACTTCTCACTTACACTGCCGTTGAATTTTCCTTTAAGAACTTGTTCTTCTGGAGTCTCTCCAGTGTCTCCTTCAACCTCTGTTGTGGTTATACCCTCATCCACAGACTCTAATGCCTCAGGTGACTCTTTGGTTTGTATTATGTCTTCACTGTGGATCATCACAGCCTCTTCTTCCTTAATTTGTGGCACAGTTGCGTCATCCTCCACCACATCTTCAGCTCTAAGCTCCTCAAAGTCCTTAGTGAGGTCTTCTGGTGTGGACATCTGAGATCTTACTGCTTCTACATCCTCTGCAATAGCAGCTGCACTTGATGCAAGCTTGCCACTGTCCACCTTTGTCTCCTTCTTTGTCACCTTTGGCTTTCCTTTCTCTTTTAACTTGGATGGGATTCCTGCATCTTTCTTTGAAGCATTTTCTTTTTTCAGGGGCTTTGGTTTTGGTGCTAGACTCTTTTCTTCACCCACAGCGGATGTCTTCTTTATGTCTTTAAAGGGCCTTTTGACATCTTTCTTTTGCTCTTTCTTTTCTTCCTTCTTCTCCTTCATAGGTGAGTCTCTTCTGATATCCTTTTTTATAACTTTCTTTGCCTCCTCTCTTTTTACTTTTTCATCCTTTTTAACACTGTGTTTGGGTGTATCATCTTTCTTTGCGACTTCTTTTTTAACCTCCTTTTTCTTTTCCACAGACACTTTGGCCTCCTTTTTGGGTTTTATGTCAGGCTTCTTTTTTTCTGGAGTTTCATTTTGAGCTGTTTGCTCTGCCTTTGCTTTTGATTCTTTCTCGGGTGCCTTTGCCTTCTCCTTTTTCAGAGGGGCCTTTTCTTTTTTCTCAGTCTTCTGTGTTTTTTCATGAGACGATTCCGCATCTGCCTTTGCCTTTTCTTCCTCCTTTGAATCCTTTCTGATGCTTTTGCTTGGTGATGGCTTTGGGGTAGTCTTCAGGCTCTCTTTGCTGTCTGTTCTTTGTTTCATCTTAGCTTGCTTAAGTGTTGGTGTAGCCGGCATATTAGAAGACATCACTTTCTGAGTGACAACTGGCTGTTTCAAGAAGTCCAAGTGCTTTAGCTTTTCTAAACCTTCAAAGATGTGATGCTGGGTGGCATTTCCAGGAAAGAGAACACGCACAACCTTATCTGAGGGATTTGCAGGGTGCCACACAATGAGTGAAGAGATAGAAGTCAAGTAAGAGACGGGGAACTCAGATTCTTTTCCGTTTGGCAGCAGAATGGAGGTTGTGTCTTTTTCACTTCCTGTCCACTGCTTCATAAAGTGCTGCATCTCCTTGCTGTTCCTTGATGGATTGAGCACATACATCTCAAGCTTCCCAACGCCCATTTTTTGAAAAAGTATGAGTGGTTCAATTGTGTTTCCAACAGGCCTTTGCAAAGACTCTAACCTCAAATTTAGCTTTGTGAGGAACTGCTGAGTGAAAGCTGCCTCCTCAACATTCCTCCGCACTCTGTAATTAGGTTCTGGGTTATCCAGGTTTTCAGGAAGATTCACAAACACAATGCCAATATCTGGAGAAATCATGTTCTTCACCCAGTCACTGTTAGCTGTCGAGCCCTGTGACTGTTCCTCCTCAAGTTCTGCAACCTTCCTCTGCAGCATGCTATTGATGCCTGGCAGGTTGTCGTCACCAATGTGGGTCATGAGGATGGAGTCCACGCGGTCCAGATGTCTCACCAGCTTCCAGAAGCATGACTTCCTGTCCGAGCCACCATTAATGAGCATGTTGAAGCCGTTGACAGCAAAGAGAGCAGAGTCACCGCTACCAGCAGGGAAAATGTAACAGCATGGTTTGGAAAGTTTCAGGAATCCACCTGATGTCGGTGGTTCTAACATGTCAAAAGGAGATGGGATCTCTACTGATTCAGATAAATACTCTGTGAACTCCGAGAGGCCCTCCATTTCAGGGAGTATGGTAGTGGAGTTTAGTTTCATGTAAATGAAGTCCTGCAGGTTATGTTTGTCCAAGTTGGAGTTTTTCCATTCGCCTTGTTCAGGGCAGGACAGTGTGAGGTTGGCTTTGTTTCCCGGGTTAATGGTGCTGAGCAATTCACCAATCTGTGCATGAGAAAAATTAGGTGGCTTCAATTTTTAATTTGTCAGAGTCCGTAATAAAACGAGTGATTTGCAATCACAGATTTAGTGTATATTTGTTTATGTATATACAGTATCTGTATGGTATGTATGTCAAGTTTTAAGACTATTATTCAATGCAAGAGTGAGAGCTTTTCTGGAAAGCAACCACCATGCATTTATTGAAATGGTGTTACTGACAAACATTTAAAGAAAAATTATTCTATAAAAAGACGGGGGAAGCCTTTCACTATTGTAAATAATAAAATTGCCAAAACTTGTGTATGAACATGCGGAAAACTATCATATTACAGTATCATAGATCACATTTTGGTGCGTAAAATAGAAATCATCATGCCAGCTCACCTCTTGGTCGGTAAATATGTCTATGAAGTTGGAGAAAGAGAATGATCCAGACTGAAGAATCAGCTCCCCACTGTTTTCAGAGCATTGCCCCGAGAGAACCAGAAGCTTGTGTCTGGAAGTGTCGGAGATCATCAAACGAGCCTAGAAATTTAAAGAAGAAAAAGTCATGATAGTGCACCACTGACTTTGGTTGAAAGTAATGGACAAGTGAAAGAAACACTGATTAAAAACAGTAAAGAAATATTTAATTTATTGCAAATGCTTAAGAAAGACAAAGAGTATATAAAAATCAAATTGCTAGATACAGATACAGGAAATACAAAGCCTTGCTGCTGCAGCAATCAGCTTGAAGATTTAGTGCATTTGAAATATCACCAGTTTCCTGTCACTCTAATCCATTAGCTAATTAGCTGACTTGTTTCTTTTCGTCCGTCTATCTCTTGCCTCTTCCCCTCTTTCTGTTGGTCTTTTTTTTCCTTCTACTTCAACAACATCAGCTGTTGGCGGCTGGCCAGGTCAAATCTGCTGTGCTGTGAGATATTATTAATGCACAGTATGACTGCAGACATGGTTGAGGGGCGGAGGCAACGCTGAAAAGGAGCACAGATGACACAAGAGAAAATCTTGTGTCGTGTCATCTGTACTCCTGACCCTGCTGTGTCTTTCTTGTTATCAAAATGTAGCAAAAGCCTAAATGCAATGACAAATTGTAAAGGCTGCACTTGTTATTCTAGCAGTAAATAAGGCATTAGTCCTGTCCTTTGAGATCCTAATTGCTTTTTCATTTCAACGAACAGCAGTTCCTATTAAGAGGGTAGATAGTTGGCCACGGTTGAAGAATAATCCTTTTCTAGCTGTAATTGCTTTGTAAATGTGCATTTATTTAATGTATTTGTGAATCATCCCTTCTTGATAGGAGGATGGGAGATGAAATGCAAAGTTACAGAATAAGGAAGAGGTTATAATAATTTAACAAATATAGCTAATTTTACCTCAGTACTGACTGCGTCATCTGAAGGGTTGATGAGCACCACCGTCTCCAGGACATTACTTTTATGGTGAAGAATCCTCTGCCCTGCAAAACAAAATGGAAAATAGTTATAGAAGAAAAATAGCACAAAAAAGGTTTTCAATTTACTATCACATAAGAAGAAAACCAGCAAATATTGACATTTATCAAGTTAGAACGAAATCAATTGATTTTGAATTAATGTATTAATCAACTAATGATCAACTAGTAATCGGCTCTACTTGACTTAGAGACAAAACACAATGATTACTTGTTAAGACTCAATCATTGTTTGTTTTCTCTGTATAATGGGGACTAAATATGGTTCAGTCTGCCACACTTTGCCATAAGTAGCAGTTTCCCCTCATTAGACAGAAGTGTTACACAGAAAATGAACAGTCGGGTGTGACAGGCTCATAATCAATCATCTTAGGTTTTGGATGATTGATTGTGATGATGACTTTGGTCCATGTGTATTTGGGGGTGTATCCTTTGGTCCTGCTGACATCTTCATCATTATTCATCTTAACACAGCAGGCTTCACTCACTCAATCGGTCTTTGTTTCTTCTCCTGGTTGTCTCATTTCTTTTTGAATATTTGGATCAATGAATTCCCCTACAGCCAACTGACAAAAGATTGGTTTTATTTGATCAATTTAGATCAACTTCTACTCGTAAAAATGAAAGGAAATGCTGCCGCTAACATGTAACAATATGTTCCCTGTTACCTTCAGAGGTCAGTGAGGTGTTGCTTGAATATAAGCTTAAAATTGAGAGGATAGAGTGTGCCTCGTCTCCAGGGATGTGATCCTGCAGCAGCTATCTGGCTCCTGGGGGCGATTCTTCCATTTATATTTCATATAGCAGATCCTCATTATGGAGCATATAGCCATTAACCCTCCCAGAGGGCTGTCACTCCATATGGAAAAAGTCTTTCATTCAACGAATGAAAGATGCTTGAAATAATGAGTATTTCACCACTTGCCAACCCTTTCAGCAGTTCTGGTATTGCACTCCATTTGTTTAATGGAGTTAGTTCCCCGGAGGGAATACTATTCCTAGTGTGCCTTTGATTTTGAGTTTTCATAAAAATCATGGAAGATGCTTAAATGACAAAGACAACATCACCTTTTTCTGCTTTCTTTGGGAGAGGGGAGTGGGGTCTTTTGCTATTCTCTTCTGCAAGTTTTGCATTCAAATGTATTGGTTCATCATTGGTTCTTTTCAAATGAATAACAATGTCATTGTTTTATCAAATGTAATTAATATCAGTAAACTAGTATAAGACAGAAATATCAAAATCTAAAAGCAATTTTTCCGATAAAAAATACTTTTGAGATAAATGACGGTTATGATAGTATACATTTACTGTTGAATGGATTGCTATAACATTTAGAACACACGTTCATGGTTCCCAGAGGATGACTCCAAAGTTTGAAGCAGAGATTTGCGTCAGTCTAATACAGCCATCATCACAATCCCAGTTGACTCTGCCAGCTTCGCTCAGCTTTGTTCTGAAGAGACAGCAGTCTTAAACTGATGACCGAAGAACAAGTGACTTAGGAAACAGTTTTCCGTGGTGTGTGAAATGAGAGAACAATCAATCATGGACGTCTATCGCTCATCCTGTCATGCTACGATACACAAGCCATTGCCAATGTAATAGGAAAGCATCTTTCTTTGTTTGTCACACTGTGGGTTACGCCCAGCTCACTGGAATTTTATGTTATGAAACAGAAAATACATTAGTCTGTTTAGAGCACAAGGGAGCCACCAGCACCGCCATCACCGAGCTGCCAAATTGCCGGGTGTCTAGGCCAACTCGTCAAAAAATGACACATTGTGCACTGGGGCTTGCTTGACCCTGACAATTACCTTGATCGATGTAAAAATCCTCAATGCCCAGTGCGTCTCTGTCTCAGCGGGAAGCGAGGTAACGTGACACGCATCACTGAGCATTCTCCTTCTGGCTGAATAGAAAGTGCAAGACTGGTGTAGCCTGCCTGCCACAGACTGAACCAGACAGGGGAACATCAATGTGGATGGCACCTCACCAAAAATAGATCAGTGGAAAGAATAAATTCAGTATCTCCTTTTTTTTGCATCAAAGAAAGACCTCACACATAAGGATTGTAAATGTATCTCCTCAGATGGCTGCTATGTGTCAGCACCTTTCTCCTTCCTGTCATTTCCTTTTCCACCGCAACAGAGTAATTGACTTTCAGCAGCGAAGACGGGGGCCCCTTGAGCACAGTTTTCAATGTCACTTGTTCCCGTGCCCCCACACAACTGGACTATAAAGGGAACTGGTATATGTAATATGTCTGGGCATGGAGCTAATGGCATTGCCGCTGCTGTTGAATTGACTCACAGAGCAGTCAATCACTTGTGCCGTAGTATTGATGCCTCTAAATAACATTCTGTTTCAAGCTCATTTACAGCCGCTATCTGTAGGAATTAGCTTGACAAGAAAAAATGTAATTATAATTACTACATTATTATGTCTTCCCCCCACCTATTTTCCAGTCTTCTCAATTCTTCCAGCTATGAATCTGCGGCTTGATAGGTACATGACGGATCAATCTATCTGCTGATTTACTTCTAGGGCCAATCAGGCTCAACGGTTTAATAAACATCGAAAGAACACAGGATGGTATTTGTGAAACATATCAGGAGGATCTTAATCTCAAACAAATTCATTGATGAAAGTCAACACAATTCTTAATTACTGTTACTGATCATAATAGTGGAATAAGTGGATTTGCGGTTTAAAGAGAGCCTTTTCAGGCTTCCTTGCTGTTTTCATTGAAGGCAGAGAGCGAGGAAATCTATGCGTAACCAGAACTATCATATATCCATCAGGGTGACACTGAGGGTCTCCTGTCTGGCCCCTTTTCTCCTGCCTTCCCGTCCTCTTCACTGTGGGGTTCAGGCTTCCTGTGCACTAACGCAGTGTGATGGATGGCATATAATCTGTCAAGCAGACAGATAATTGCATTCGTCCCTCTCCGCTCAATACCACCTGCTGGTTTGTGTTTTCCTGTAAGCACTGTGCCCGAAGCAATAAATGCACTACACTATAAACATAAAAAAACGTTTTTTCTTGCGAATATTAATAAATTATACCTCCATAAAGTTAGCTGCTCAGCTTCCTAATCAACCATCTTCATCCTGAAAAATGCACCTAATGTTTGGTTGAGCTCGACATTTTGAAACGTACGTTTGTTTGCCACGGCGAGAGTTGGATGAGAAGATTGATACCATACTCTTATATCTTTCCAGTAAATATACGGCTGCAGCCAGCAGCTTAGCTTAGCATAACGACTGTAAACAGGGAGAAACAGCTAGCCTGGCTCCGTCTAAAGGTAACAAGATCTGCCTATACCTATCCACCAGCAGCAGTAACTACTTCTTAATATAAAATATAAGGAAGTTACTGCTCCTGAACAGAAAATACTGTGGCACATGTTTCATTGTTTTTGTACAGACTAAACAAATAAGGATTAATGTGTCGATTGGTGGATTTTGTTACCTTTGGTCTTCATGCTATGCTAAGCTAAGCAGCTGACGGATATGAGAGTGGTACATTGATCTTCTCATCGAACTCTCAGAGAATAAAGCAAATAATCGATTATCCAAATGTCGAAGTATTACTTTCAAGCAGTTCATTTTGTGTTTCACACAGTGACACGGCAGTAATTGACAAGTTTAAATTCAAAGTATACTTCTATGAATGAAAAAAACCCAACATAATTATCTCCTTAATAAACTTGAAATCCCTGTGAATGTTTCTAGGAAGCCCCTCATAAAGCAGTTCATGTATTGAAAGTTCAAAAGACAATGGAAATCCTCCCTTTGAGAAATAGACTTGGCAAAAAGCCAAAGTCGTAGAATACAAGAGAACAATACGATTCCAGTTTTTCTGTTTATGCAGCGTTACATCTAATAGCCTTGGCTTTATTAATTCACAAATCAGAACAGCATTTCTGGCTCTGAGTCACTTCTATCTTCCTACCTCATCCCCCTCCTCCTTTTGTCCCTTGTTTGCTTCTCTCTGATCTTCTTCCCCTCCCTTCTTTATGTTCACGGACAGACACTTACCACTGGGGATTCACCACTAATTACTCCTGAATCAACTACACATCTAGAACTGCGTTGCAAGGCAACGGCACACATGAAGGAGGAAGGGTGGAGGATGGGAGAATGGTAAAAACAAGGTTGGATGAAAGTGATTGGGAGTCTTTTTGAATACTATATACATCTCCATGTTTCACCTCCCTCTCAAGTTATTGTATTTCACCTCTGTAAGCCCAATTCTGAGATTTGATATTACTGCATTAAAATAGATCACCTGATTTAGTCTGCAGCAGCAGTTGTTGGCTGGATCAATCTATTGTGAGGAATTGGTTATGTCCAATATGGAGCAAAGCCAAGCAGCGCCTTGAACTGCTGCTGACCGTCAAGGCCATACTGCCCACTGACAGACCACATCCTGCCACACTGGATCTGTTCCGTCTTTACAGAACCTCTCCCTCACCTTGCAAATGATATCAGCACCGTGCAGCAAAATGCTGAGAGGACATATCCAGGGACAGGTAATAAAACCCCTCGGCTTAGTGTAGTGCAAGGAAGTTGAAGCTGACTGTGCAGCGATAGTATGCAACAAAGTGTATTTACTAAAATACTAATGTACAGTTCTGAGGTAATTGTACCTCACTTGATTTCATTTTCTGTTACTTAAAATCATATCAACCAATTACAAAGAAAATGCTGCTCATGTATCATGCACCAGTGATAATAACCTATACAGTGTATATAACATATTCTACATACAGTGTATGTTTGGCTATTACAAGCAAGTACGCTAGATTCCAAAAATGATGTAACCAAAAAAAACAAAACCAGCCCAGTGTTGTTGACTCTTTTCAAATGAAAGCAGCTAGCGCAATAGCTCCAAAAGTCGCTAAATCTAGATAGAAAGTCGCAAAGCCGGCGACATTGACAGCCCTTCCCTTCATTGGGGAATTAAATGATTGGACGGGCTTTTTCCAGTCTTGCTACAGACACAGAAACTGGAAGTTTTTTCTTTGTTTTGGTCAGAAGATTTGATTTATTGATTGCTGTTGGGGTGTAAAAACATTTTTAACAAATATAACAAAAAATGTTTTTGAAGAAGATTACCAACCCTGGCTTTAACGCATAATCAGACTGATAATGTGACATTATAAGTGAAAAGGTCTTTAATCAGCATACCTCTGACATCTGCAGAGAAACGAGCTGAGTGTCTGGAGACAAACAGCTTGAGCTCCTGGTCCAGGTTGCAGTCGATAAGGTTGGTGTCCCATGAGCGGATCCCTGCAAGACAAACAGAAAAAGAATAAAAATAAAAATAAACAAGAAAATAACAAAGAGCAAGGAGAAGAAAAGACGCCAGCGAAGAAAAACGTATGTGAATCAATGCTCACAGCAGACAACACACTGAGAAACTTGGCAACAGGTCTAATAAATGTGCTAAGTTTCACCCACACCCACACATCTATTTCACTGATCCTGTGCCTCCAGTTTATTGGAAATATCCAAGAGGGAACATATATAGACTTGTTACTGGTTTGGCATGAGAAACAAAAATCTATAATAGGAAATATCCATGGCCATGTCTGTGTTGCGCCATTGGCCAGATGCACTGGTAATCTCCACTGAGCTGAGTCATGGTGGTGTCATCCTCTCTTCATAATCATGTAGAGTAGAGGCCTAATGTAGGCCTCTGTTACGTGATGACTTGCACTGGGAATGGAGACAAAAGGACTTTTTTGGGTGTTTATCTCTGAGCTTAGCTACACACTAAAGGTGAACAACAGAGTTTCTTTAACTCACAATATTATTTGTTGAAAGGGTATTACAAGAAACAGGAGATAAAGGGTGTGGCAAAAATATGAGAACATGAATAGCATGAGCAACAGCGATGAAGATGATACAATGTAGTTTTACAAGAATAAGGTCACATGTTAATACAAAATAAATGAGAATAATGTAGCCTGTAAATAAAATAAAATACATTTTCAAGAATAAAAGAACAGCCCTAAAAGTGCACAAAAAAAATACAACTCCATAGACTCGATCATCAGAGTCACAAGATTGTGTGATTCAACCAAACGCTCCAGAACAGCTAGTGAAGGACCTTGTGGGTTGATTTTTACAAGGGCAATAGCCAACTTTTGGTCTCAAGATCTGACACAGCAAGGGACAACATAATAATCTATTGAATTAACAAAACAGGGAATCAAACGGTGGATGCAACAGGTTCAAATCTAGTTACCCTAAAATCAGGTGAGACCCAGAAGGAAACACTTCCTCTTTCTTCTCTCCTCCTACAGTAACTGCGCCATATTCTCCTCTTCCCTTTCCTCTCTCACACAAACAGTGCACTCAGTCCAGAAAGGCAGACAACTACAGCAGCTGCGGCTTTTCTAAAACGCCCTGCTCACTTTGAAAATCGTTCCTTGTGGCTTTCCGTAGGGACTGCAGTGCGGACCGAGCCACGCCCACCTTCCGGTGAGGGATGAGAGAGCTGGATGATGATGGAGAGACGTTCCCACGGGATGCAAGGGGGGATAAATCTAATTCTACCCCGCTGTTTCAGCCAAGCAGTCATTTCAGCCTCAAAACACAGAGCGTGTTTATTCACTTTTGAAAGCGAAGCTCTCCGCCTCAACAACACAAGCAGAGAGAAAGCTGCTGCAATAAACCCTGTTGTCTCCTCCTGACTGCAAACTGATGCGTGGGACCCTCCTGAAACAAAAGCCTGGCGCACCTGAATAAAGCTCTGGCAAGGTGCTGCGGGAGAAGAAGAAAAAAAAAACCCGCAGATGCACATGGAGCCAAAGAAATGCGATACGCTGCATTGTTGACGCATAGTCCAGATTTAATGCTGAATCACTGGTGGCAGCTTTATTAGAGGAGCGGGCCCACGTGTGTGGATGACAACAATTGGGCCTACTGACATAAATGTGATAATCATACTGAACTAACACAGTGGGTGGGTGGCAAGGAAGGTACGGGTTGAAAGATGTGAGGGGACCATTGTCTTCAGTTTATGGTGATGTTACTGGGAGGGGCTGTTCAATATCCCCTTCTACAAACAACATCACCTCCAGCTCAAATAATAACCCGATAAATAAGGTTTTAGATATAGTTAATGACCCATCAATATGCTTAATTCGCTCAGGCGTAATGGATCGCGCGTAAATGCCGGTTAGAAACAGGTGCATCTGCAGCTGACATGACTTCTACAGCCATGAGAAGAACTTCTGCGCAAACATATCTGCTCAAGTTGTTATGAAGATGTAAAGTGGTGGCCTGCACCCATCAAAGCTCCATCTTACCTTTCTCTATGTCCGCAATGGCACACTTTAGGTGATCCTCCGTTATGATCTCACCGATAACCACCAGCAGATAGAATTTGCTGTCGTTGAAGTGCTGCGAGGGCCCGGAGGATGTCTGAGACGTCCCCGCATTGCTTTGAACGCCTAAAGTCTCCATTTCTGCGGATTGCACCAGGGTGGCCATCCTTTCGTCTGTCTCTCCCGTACACACGCGCGCGCAGGATCCCAACAGCAGCCTCCTCCCTTTATTCGCTACAGAGCACCGGAGTGGTCTCCAGACATGCAAGTGGAGCCTTGATAGGAGTGGCCCTAGCTTTTTATACCAGCAGACATTGTGTCATATTCGGTAACCGGGGAGAGAAGAGGGCGCCGGTTTTCCTTTTTTTTCCCGCACACTCACTCCACAGCTGATGTCATCCGCAACGAATCAAACGCCTCCGGAAGTCACGGAGATTTGATGCTTTGTGTTGAAGTCTTCATCAGTGCTAGACTCCTACTTATTACTCTTTACAGATACACGTTTGATGTGGTGTGGAGTAATTTTTAACCATTGCCCGTTCAAAATAAAATTAAAAGTGTTATAAAAAAAACACTTCAACCGAGAGCTCTCCTTTGAAAGAGTTAATTTAAAGATTCTTCAAAGGTTCATAGATTATATTAAAGACATGAAGGGGAGTAAAAGGGTTGTGAGACTGCTGATGCTAGAATACCATTTAAAAAGTCCCCTCATTTCATGGCAGTGTACAACTAAATTGCTCTAATTTCATTGCTGTGTGTTTGGTAATAAAGAGGATTCAAGCTCAGTTTTCTGTGGACATATTTTACAAAGGTGTTTCTCCTGTAAATATGACCCCAGAGGTTTATTATCGGTGTGCAACTGAATGCAGAGCATTGTGCAGTGTGATGATTGCTTTGTTATATTGGACACAAATGTTCAGAGGATAAGAGGTTTAGTCTAATTCTTGGTGATACTCTACTTTAATGCCACCGTTTTGAACATGCAGTGAATTTGTGCAACAAAAATAAAGTAATTATTAAAATGTTGCAGTAAAGACTAAAGAGTTCACACCATCCCCTTAAACCCCTAGGCCTATAGATAAACTAAAAAATAAAACAAATTTGATTTAAGTTGAAGAATAATCAAGATATAGCATCCCCACTGCAAATCACAATATTAGAAACTGACTGAGGCATTGTCCAAGCATGATATTTCTGTCTTTGTCTTTTCACTTAACCACATTATGCATGAAGTGTTTCTAACCCGACAGCATCCTTTATATGTAGAGATAAATGGCTTGATGTCTGATCACAACATCCATCTGTGATCTCACTCAGGTCGGTCCCTCGCAGTCGAACAGGGAGTTTCAAGAGATTCACTTGAAAAAAAAAAAAAAGTCTTTGATTGTGGAAAGCTTCCATCTCACAAAAACAAGTTCATATGAAAGAAATATTAAATCAGAGGGGGGTGAAAGAGGAACAACTACAAATGAACAGCAACTGAAAAGAACAGAGATCAAAGAATTCCGGTCCATCATATTTTATCAGAAAGGAAAAAGCGTGTGTGTGTGTGTGTTTGTGTGTGTAGACCTTAAATGCAGTTGGCAGTGAATGAAAAAGCTATTTTTATCTTATGATGTAAACATAAAAGATGTTTCCCAGGAGAATCATCGAAAGTAGCAGCTAAAATTAGGCCCTATGTGAAAGCAGACAGACTTCAGAACTGTAGCCGACTGATGCAAGAACGAAGGTCACAAATTTGAAAGAGACAGCTCAGGATGCAGATACAAAAGGATGCACACACACACACGCACACACACTTACGCAAACCCTGACTTTTCCCCCTGGCAAGCCTCATTGATGTGATTCGGTCTCGTGGATGGGGTCACTGCAGGTGTGTTATTGACTTTAATAAGGCTATCAGGAACAGTAGTCCACGAAGCAGTGTGTGAATATGTCAGGGCCTTTGTGGCCTGGCGGGCTGGGCTTTGTCATATTCTCCTCAGGCCATGGGAGGGCAAATCAAACATTCATCATACACAGCTGGGAAAGAAGGAAGGCATTAAAAATACAACAGGCTGCCACCAAAAGTCCCCTAAGGATGGAATGAACATGTGTGTTGTTTGCAGGAGGTGGGCTGATGGATAAGACTGCCATAGGATTTTGTTTGTGCACATGCATTTGTGTCTATGTCCATGTGTATAGAGGCTGTTCAAAACATTAAAATAAAAGGATTTTAATAATTCAATAACCTTAACACCCTTGTGGGTCTGACAAAACATCAAATCCTGTGAAGCCTCAGGTCACTTGTAAAAACAACAGACACAGCATAATGTACAGGGTGAGTCTGGAAAACAAAGAGATGTATTCAGTAAGGAGAGAAAACATACAATAAAGAGAAAGAAATATTAAGACAACAGTATTTGTTAGGACAACATGATGTGAATGATTAGTGATTTGAAATGGGTTGAATTACAGTTGGTTGAATTAAACTTGATAATCATGTAAACCCTATACACTGTATGTGTCTTTTAACATTGTTCATTATGTGTCTGTTACTGTTGTCCTTTTCACATCAAATCATTTTGCAGCTTTTTTTTAACAACGCACCTGGACTGTCTGAGCTCTCTTTGTTTTCTTTACGTTGCTTTGAAAATTCACATATCAAAGTGCTGCCCGCCGCACCTCTTTCAGCTGGCGAAGAGGTCCCCAAATTCAACCTAATGTGACACACTTTGGTGGCCATGTTTTTAGGTCTGATTGAGTTACTTCACCCTTAGTAAGTTATTCATCATCAGAGATATTCCTTTTGTTTCCTTTGTCTACTGCTCAGTGTCGCTGTTCCTTTCAAAACCCCACTGACCAAAGTGACCAAAGTGACCAAAGTGACTGCTTTCTGTTCACTTTGCTTAGTGTTGATACTTTTGACCACTCAATTTTGATTGGAAATTTGGAAAAGTCCCACCTTTATGTTAGCAATGTCACTGTTGAAATTGGGAGAACCTCTTCCTCACCTGTCTCCTTCATCTATGGTGTCCCCCAAGGCTCAATTTAAGGCCCTATTATATTTTCAATAAGTCGTTGACTTATGTACCAGTACATGTTTCAGCAAATTTGTACCAATAGAGTCTGCTCACAGGTTTGTAGTTGACTCCAACCTTACGTTTGACAGCAAATTATTCAGGGTAGTAGGCTAGCCTTTTGTTGAATTTTTAACCTGGTTTACATTTTTGTATGCCCCTTATTGTCTCACAGTTAAATTATTTTTTAATCTTCAAAGTACTAAAATTATTTTAGCACATTTTCTTGCTTACTGTTTGCTTTACTTGACTTGCTGTGAGTGATGGCCAAGATATCCCTAAATCATGTATTAATGACAAATATCTGATATGACAGGTTTTTATTTTCATTATTTGTTGGCATAGAAACAGCCATCTGCCCCGACTTGGCATGGGCCCACTGTTAAGACCTTATTGCCCTGGTGAGAGAGAATGGGTTTGTGGGTAAAACGTCTTTTCACTGGTTGCCTCTCGCTGGCCCCTCCTGTGCAGAGTTGGCACATAATGTTCACAATGGCACATACGTGCATAACAGTTATTAACGTTTACATTAATTACAATATTTATGTAAGTCATATACTTTAATCGTGACAGACCTTTCACATAGCAGGGAAAGCACAGTTGTAAGTACAAACATGTCATTGAGGTCATGCGAGTGCCAACATCCATAATACCAAGGCCCAGCAGTGACACAGCCAACAAGCACCATGTGTTAAACTGCTCACCTTGAGCAAGGTTGATGTGCAATGCCTGTTTATATTACAGATACCACATGTAGTGTTTGAATTACTGTGGTTAAACCTTCTAAACATTCATTATTTGTTATTCAATGAAGAAAATGAAGGTGGAGCAATTGACCATTGGAGCAATTGACTAGTGGTATGAAAGTAACTTATTACTCAAGTACTAGTAACAAAGAGAAAAAAAGAAAATATTATGCTTTATCGCTACACCTCAGCAATAAATACTACGTTCTTCTTCACTACATTTATTGTAGATTAAGATATAAAAAACGAAAAACTTTATATTGATTAAATAAAAGCATAGATACTTTGATAAAGGCTAAACTACCCAAATGATCTTTAAATAATCTTGACCAGCTACAACAATAAAGTGAAGCTTACATGTTAATGCCCTTTTACTTTTGATTTTAGCACGTTTTTCTGAAAACTCTTCTGTTGCTCAAAGGTTCTCTATATGATATTCAGAGCATCAGCATAGCAGCAAACAACAATTTTCTATGGTGAAATATATAAAGGAGTAATGTGCTTTGTTTGAATTATAAACAGCCTATTTACAAAACTTACTAAATAGAGCAGTGAAAACGAGGTGTTGGATGGTGTGGTGTGGAGGACTGTGCATTATTAAGAGAAGAAAAAAACGTTTTTCTACAGTAGATGCTGCATTCATTAATGAATAAAACACAAGAACACAATAGCATCCTGGAGAGGAAAGCACAAGTGCACAGACCACACTCCATCGCCGGGTCCCTCTCTCTGCCCTGCCTGGTATCTCTGTGGTAGTTCTCTGGGCCAGACTACACCCTGCTGAGCTGACAACACCAATGTGTCATCCTGTTGTGTGTGTGTGTGTGTGTGTGTGTGTACGTGTGTGTCAGTGTGAGTCCGTGGGTGTCTGAACATACAGTACAATTGACTGAGTGAGACAGAAAGGGAGCGGCACAGTAGAGTTCAATCAATCGGTTTACATGAGCACACAGTGTTACACGCTCAGTCATGACACGCAATACAATACGATACAGTTATCTGTGTAGGGGAACTGGGATTTACTTTTCTATTATTGTCAGACTGTATCCTGTCCATTGAATTTGTTGTAAATCCCAGGCAGCGAATAATAGTTTCCGACCTGTTTTCCGGGACACAAAGGTCAGAAAGATAAGCTAACGCTGTGCACAGCAGTGGTGTGTGTGTGTGTGTGTGTGTGTGTGTGTGTGTGTGTCTGAACCATCTGAACCCTGGTGTGTCTGTTTCAGACGACTGCTGTGGACAGAACATGGCTGCCTAGAGTTCAGACTGGCTAACCAGCCGGCTAACTGAAGATTAGCCACACTGATGGCATGGCTGTGGGACCACTTTGGTCCAGACTGAAATATCCATAGTTGTTCAGACCAACAACTATTGCATGGATTGCCATGAAATACAGAGCAAAGATATCAGTGTTTCCCAGTGAATGAATCGTTTAACTTTAATGATCCTCAGACTTTTACCTCCAACTCCACCAGCAGGTCAAAAGGTATCCAGTCCATACATTCATGTTCCCCTCAGTATGTAATAACGTTGGTGATCCCTAAACTTTTCCTCTGGCGCTATTGTCAGGTCAGA